AGCTACTGGAATGTAAAGAACATTGAATTCCAAAACGGGGTCACTTATAGCAATAGACGTGGTAACCACAGGATCGGAAATGAAAACCTACTGGTTTCTCTCTGTGTCATTCTTGCTTCCATAGGTGGATGAGTAACCGCGTAAACTGGTTCTTTTCTCTACTGTTCTCAACCCTGTACCTGCTTCCACCACGTTCCTGGTCACGACGTATTATAATCAGTGGGTTCCTTTCCCGTGTCCTCCTCAGTGCTGTGTACACTTCGAGAGCAGGGACTAGCTCTGGACATCTTGTTTTTCATAAAACCCCATCATTTAGCACAATGCCTGATACATAAGAATAACTCAGTAAATGATTGTTGAATGAATAAAAAAAGCCTATGAAAAGAAAAGAAAAATATATGACCATGTAAAGACTAAATGTTTACAAAACTCCAACATAGAAGATAAGCTGTATAAGGAAGAAAACATTTGCCAAGAATCTTTGGCTCGGTCTATTTAGACACCCAGCCTCTCCTATTGGAACAAGAGCTGGGAGAGAGACTCTGCTCTTCTGAGTACGAGACGTAAATCATTCGGAGCAACACTCTTAGAAACGCATGTGTAAGGTTTTTAAAAAGCCCATCTGGTATTACAATAGCAGTATGTATTTGGGGAACAAAATAACAAAACCCAAAGCACACCTATCATTTTTATTACAACAAGCTACAGAAAGTAAAGATTTACAAAGTCTTTTCGGCCAGAGGGTATATAAAAAAGATTGATTTTCCCAAGTGGGAGAGTCCCAGGAGGGACATGAGATCTTTATGTTTATCTAACTCGAGCTTAGGTTTTAAAAGGCTGGGAAACAATAACTTGGCAGAAATTATACTTCTGTCCCTGAGGCTCTCTGCTTCTTCTGGGGAGTTGCGGAGTCAACAAAACCTGAGGGCTTCATTCACTGGGGCGATTGCTGTTATTTACCCTGATCTGAGGAGCCTGGGAAATAGTCGCTCAATTTAACCAGGCATCTGAACGTTCCCGACTTTGACTGGCGCAGGTATTAGCTGCATCCTCCAGCTGGAGGCCCAGCACGCAGTTCAGTGTCTTCCCCGGAGCTGGATCTATACAACCACTTGCCCTTTCCTCCAGTCCCCCCGGAGCACAGCCCTTGTGAACCTCCATCAGGTACCTTTTCGCTCTCTCCCTGCCCTTGACAACTAGATTCCAAGCCATCCACTGTCCCGTTTTACCTACAGCTCTCATTGGTGCAGCCTTTCCAGATTTATACAGCGCTACTACATGCACAATCCTTAAAAAAAAGTGAGTAGTTGATTTGAGAGCTGTAAGGGGGGTGCAGAAATTGCCCCTCCCGCAGGTCAGCAGGTAGATGGTTGACCCTGATCTCATCAAGTCCCCCCACCTAAGTACTAGTTTACAGGATCGAGAAAAATTTTCAGTGATACCGGGGGGTCCCATCAGTTCAACGTGAGACATTGTACAGGACAAGCTGCCAGGCTGTTTATTCAACAATTTGGTGTGGAAGAAGGGGGAGGGGAACTGTTACAAATGAAAAGAGACTTAAAGATAAGTCCATTGAAGGCAATGTGTGGATTTTGCTTGGATCTCAAGTTACACTCACTGCCAAAAGAACTTTGTCTGACGGTCTGGGAAATTTAAATACAATCTGAATATAAGATGATATTAAGGAATTGTTAATTTTTAAGTTCACCTTGAATTCATTTAAACGGTATTGTTAATTTTTATAAATGGATGTTTTGTGATGTTAAACAAATCTGTTATTCAGAGATACACATTCAAGTGTAAATGGGAGAAACAGCAGTATGTGTGGGATTTGCTTTGAAACACTCCAGCGAGAACAAACAAGGGAACAGGAGCGTGTGTTTGTGTGTGCACTCAGCAAATAGAATTGCCGAAATGTGAACATTGTCAAACAGGCACCTGGGGTTTTTATTTAACCAATTTCCCTGCTGCTGAGAAGATCTGGAAATTTCTACAATAAAAAGTAAAAAAAATAATTCTTAATTTAAAAAAAGAGAGCGAGCTGGAGGGACTTCACAGTGTTGAATTCTGCTGCGGGGTGGAATAACTGAGTACAATCTCCCGTTCGGCTTAGGAACTGGCAGTCACAGGAAAGCTTGGGAGAGCTCTTCTGAGGTCAGGCAGGAGTGGAAGGGAAGTTAGAGTTGACAATGATTTTTTTTCCCAGTGGGAAAGACTTAGACTTGTAAAAATCAGATGTAATGAGAGCTTGAATATACAAAAGAAAGAAAATGTAACTAACAGGATCAGGGGCCCAAGAAAGGAAGAAAGGATGAGAACCAGTGGACAAGCAGGCACTGGCTTGGACAGAAGAAGGATCAGCTGCCTTAGTAGAAAGAAAAAGATAGAGTAGATGCAGATGTAGGTACTTGGTATGTTTGGATCCAAAAGAGGAGAGATTTGCTCTTTTGATGACCTCTGTTTTCTGTATAAAGTAAGGGGAGATTCAGGATAGGAGTTGTATGAAAAAAAAAAAAAAAACCCAGGTAGATTTCAGGACAGTGTTGTTGACCTGTTTATAGTCATGTGTGTCCTCCCTATGATGCTATTTGCCCCAATAGAACTCAACTGTTGGGGTGCTGGTTTAGAGAAAGAGAAACACTGGGTGTGTTCAGGTTGAGGTTTTGCCTGACAGGATGCAAAAGAAAAAAAGAAGACAGGCGGTTTAGGGTGTTGATAGGCATTATTACTGACTACATAATCATGCAACTTAAGCTGGGTATAAAAGGAAATGGGCTGGTGGATTTCAAGAAAGGAGAAGGGTAAGGGATCAGAAGTTGCAATGTCACTTAGTGAACCTGAAGGGAGGCCGTTGTGGTTGGAGAGGGGGACGCTCTGATTAGCAAGTCTGGAGGTGGACATTTTTGGGTGATATGATGAATCAATAGCAATGGGGAGTAGAGGAAGTAAAAGGCTAATTGGATTGTAAGTCACTTTTCAGCATTAATGGCAGTTCATTCAAGAAGCAGAAGCACTTTCTAACAGACCTCTCTTGAACATTTGAAGATCCCAAATACCATGCTAAAATAATACAGGGCACTCGGAGAGAAAAAGAAGCAATTGTTTTTTGTTGTTGTTGTTTTTTGTTGTTTTTGTTTATTTGTTTGTTTGTTTGCATTGTCCTAGGCAACAGTACACACAGATAATAATGTTGACTCCATGAACTTTCAGAATCCCTTTGCCTAGATAGCCCATGCACTATTTGTCATCTTCACAATATTCTCTTTTTTTTTCTTTATTGATTTTAGAGAGAGAGGAATTGAGAGGGAGAGAGAGAGAGAGAAGCATTGATGAGCAAGAACATCGACTGGCCGCCTCCTGCATGCTCCACACTGGGTATTGGGCCCACAACCCAGGCATGTGTCCTGACTGGGAATCGAACCAGCGTCCTCTTGGTGCATGGGTTGATGCTCAACCACTGAGCCACATCGCTGGACCTCACAATATTCTTATAAAGCAGAAAAGGGAACAGATACTCTATATTTTATTAAAGTAGGATTCCCAGAAATTGACTCCCATTTGTCTTTTCAAGCTTAGAAAGAGTTGGCCAAGAGACCTCCTGGGCAAGGAGACTGGCCAGAACTCACAGGGCCCAGTGCCATGTCCTGTTCGTGACTCTTCCTCCTGGCTGCTGAGCCCTTCCCGAAAGGCAGACAGACCAAGCAGGAGCAGAGCTGGCTGAGGGCAGCTGCTCTCACACCAAGGTTCCCCCGCCCCTTCCTGGAGCCAACTCCATAGCCAACTTGCTATGTAATACAGGGGCTGCAACATGGTGGGGCTCAGACCCTCCCACTGGGGGTGCTCATGGCCACCCTGCTCCTGGGCTGGCCTGGGCCTTGGGCTGATGTGCCCATGAGGGAGGGACACCCAGTCAGGTCATGTCAAATGTGTCCCATCTCCTTTCCCACCTTCCACCAATCAGCCTTCTATCGCCGACTTGCACCCACTTTGTTTTCTGCTTTCTGCCACATCTCAAGTTTATGTCCACCCACGGGTGTCTTCTTAAGGTTCAGTCGACAGCGAGGCACCCAGGAGAACCAAGAAACCCTCTGCAGAGTATCTGTCATCATTTCTTTTCAACAATGTTTACAGCACAGTGCTGTGAGCTACGCACGGAGCCCAGTGGCAGAAAACAGAGTAATGAAAACATTCATCTTCCGTTTTCACTGGATAAGGACAACGGAATTAGAAGAAATTGAAGCAAAATAAAAGAAAAAACACAATTGACACATTTAAATATGACAATGTTGTTATTGCAAACACAGAGAGTTGGTCAAGTGCTTTACAAATGAAATGCTGCCTTCAGACTAAATAATTTGTATCCAACGCCCAGGAAGTTGAAAACTTCTTTTGTGTCGGGAGGGTTCTGGAAGGGGCTGATAATCCTCAGGGCCCCTTGCTAACTGATGCACACACTGTAGATAAACTCCAGAATCTCTCTCATCTTATCACACATATCCTCAAGGCCAAGAACTACTAATGGACTCCCATTAGTTTTCATTATTAATAGATAGACATATCAACCCACAGGGTTATTATCTATATATCATGAACCACAGCCACAATTTGTCTTAGCAAGGTTTAACAACATAATAAATACTCGTTAAATCATTTTAGAACAATGATTATTCTTCCTGGAAGTACTCTTCACTCAACCGTAGAGCCTCATGTTGCCCAGGGAGTTCACCCCGCCACAGTGCGGCACCTCCTCGCATTCAGGGGGAGTCCAGCGCAGCTCTGCTTCGTCCTTGACTCCCAGACTCCTATAGTCTCAGTCCTATGCTCTGCCCTAGAATTCAGTCTATTTTGACGGCATATATAAAAGTTTATCGACAAAAGAAAAACATTCTATACAGAAAAAAATAAACAAGTGCACTTTTCTTTCTCACTTACAAAGGTCAAGGTTAGTCCATTACCAACCAAAAGGAGATTATATTTCACACTCCTGTTAAATAAATCCATCAGGACTGTATCTGGGATTTGCATGGTTTCAGGATCTGGGCAATATTAGGTCCCTTAGTGTCCTGACTACAGAAGGTAGATCTGAAAAATTTAATTAAAGAGGGGGAAAAGGATATTAATTTGACTCCAGGAGGGGAAAGACATTGGTAGATCTTTTAATTAATGAGTACTTATTATTTTATAAACACTTTTGCAAATGTAACATTCATTTCTTAAACGATGTTTATTTTGATTGCAGGATTTCAAGATGTATACATTTTTATACTAGTTGCAAATTTCAAACTATATGTGGGTTTTAAATGCCATGTACAAAATTGAAACTGTTTGAAAATGCAAAGGGAAAAGTAATACTTACTCGTATCCATATTTTCCAGATATATCTACCACCATTTCTGCTCCCAACTTATTCTGAGAACGTCCAAATGAATGCTTCTTCCAAACGAACTCAATACTTGTGATGTTGCCAATATTAACCTCTGCATCAATTAATTTTGTATAAGTCGTGCCTGGCTTAAGTGTTCCACTGTAAACAGAAAAATAAGACTCATTATCTTGCACCGGGTATGCACAGTGTCGGAATGGGAGGCATCTGCATGTCACCATGGAAGAGAAAGTTGCATTTGCTTGTAGAAAATGTTTTCTTTCTGTTTCGATTGGTCAGCATCTCAGAAGAGCAAGGTTCTGAAGCTTGAGAGAAGAGTAAGGAAAATTGGAAGCTTGACTAGTTTTGGATGCTTAGAGAGAGGCGTTATGTTGGTGAGTTCTTCATAACGATTGATCTGGTCTTGGTTTTGGAGTGTCAGAAACAAGATTTTATTGACACCAGGAAATGGTGATATTGTTAATGATGGACTGATTCACCCAAAACTGCTGTATAAACTAGAAGACTGTTTATCAGTTCACAATGGAGATATGCTTTCTTTTAATAACCAGAACGTTCTCCTGTTCTCTCCCTGGTACCTCTTTAGCTTTATAAAAAGAACTGGGCACTAAGAGCTGTTTCGGTGGGCGGGCACTAGAGCAAGGAGAAGTGTATTATCTGAGCATAGGACATATTTTATCCAAGCCAGAATGAGAGATCTCCTTATTCCTGCTCTTTCCCTATCCCTTTGTTAACTTGTCTGTCTCCTCTAACTGGAGGATGAACTCCATCAGAGCAGGACCTGTGTCTATATCCCTAGCAATCAGAACAATTCCTGGCACAGAGCAGGCATTTAAATGCTTGTTGAATGAATGAATGAATGAATGAATGAATGAACGAACGAACGAACGAACGAACGACGAATGAAAGAATGAATGAACGATGAATGAAAGAATGAATGAATGAATGTTGCTATTCATAGAGCCTGTTTTATTCCATTAGACATAGAACTAATTGATTTAACTACTGGAAGGCAACTTTCCTTCCAAGTTCATAAGGGTAATCTCCCTGTTGCTCCCTGAACTGCCTCCCCTCAGCACACATGGGACAGCCCTTCATGACATTGCCATTAGAAACTAAAATAACTAAAATAGAATTTACGGGGAAGCCGGACTTGAAGCTTGACTGGAGACAGGCCGTAGGCTAGCACACAAGTTCATTGAGCTGACTTCCTTTTAAGATGAGACATCTAGTGTGAACCCAAAATGCTAAAAAAATCGTACAACAGGATTGGGTAACTACATAACAATATAACAAACAGCTTCTTTATGTACCAGAAGTACAGTAATGTGCAAACATTCTCACAAATCTTAAGAGGGGAGGAACTGTAGCTTCATCCCCACCTGCCCAGACCAGGTGCCTTTGTGCAGGGCACGGACCGCACAGCCTTGGGCAGTGTGTGTGGACATCGGAGTCACAGGCACACGAGGGTGTGGAAGGGTTCTCAGAGACCTGAAGAGCAGGTATAAATGAGATGCGGAGACAGGGAAGGGTATTTGGAGCAAAGGAACAGCATAGGTGAAGACAGGAAGGGAGGAAAGGTCTCCCCCTGCTCAGTGCGGGGGAGACGTGCATGAGCCCAAGGTGAATGCAGCCGTGCAGGGGGAGATGAGCTAGCAAGGTGGGCGGGGCCTGTGCATGAACTCGGATCCCCGCAGTCACTGGCTGAACCCAAACGTATAGGCAGCGGCCCCACAGCAGACTCTGCCAGAACCATTAATGCGACACACCTTTCAAGTGGCAAAATAACCAAAACATATCGCTTTTCATGCCTGTTGGCCCAATATTTGAGGATGATGAAAACTGAAGAGGCAGGACATTTAATCCATTCAACAGTTTGCAAAAGGGTAACATCTAATGAGTGTGTAATGTTAATACTAAAATAGAAAATTAAACAATGAAAGTGAAATATGTAATACAAAAGTCCTTGGCTGATGGAAGAAAAAATTAAGGAACACTTGAGATAAGAGGAGATTGGAACCTCAGCTATCCAGTGAATGTTTCTGCCAAACCATCTGTACCTTTGGCTGTCCCAACACATGTCCTGTGTCTGTGGGTGCCACTGAGGGAGCTTGTTAGAAATCTGGCAGTTGATATACGTGTCTTATTTCAGAAGTCATTTGAAATCTACACAAATAAAAACATATGCTAAATTTGTGTCATATTAAAGGGATTGGATAACAGGATAACTGGTCAACTGGTTGGTTCTTCTGTCGACTTTCCCCCACTTGCCTTATCATCTGGACCTGTATTTTCACGTTATCATTTCCTAACATTTTCTGTCTGTAGCTTGAACTGCGGAGAACATGCATATTACTATTTCTATTTAATCTGGAAAACACGGAGTGAAAAGGCAAGTCACGTGTAACACGATAGCCTGTGTCACACAGGGAACGAGGAGACAGCTGCTCCCCGAGCAGCGTAACCGGCCGGCACCTTGCCTACCTGGCCGGCACCTTGCCTACCTGGCCACCGCCAGCTCCTCCTTCCCAGTCGTCCCACCTACGCGGAGAAATATGCTGCCTTCTGTGACATTGTTTCCATTGACTTTGACAGACAATTTATGCCTCCAACCTTGAAAGAGAGAAAAGAGAGAGGGAGAGAGAGACAAAATGAAGGGTTAAAGCTAATTGAAAAGCAAGACATTTTAATGTAAGCGCAACTTTGTATCTTTCAGGGTTAAAGTGGAACAAGGCTGTTCGTGTTCATGGAAAAAAAATACAACTTTAGATCCTTTGAGTGAATTTGGTCAAAACAACAAACACTACATTTCAAAATACATATAAATGTTCACATTTCATTTTCCCATGAGTAAATAGTTGAAAAACCTTTTAAAAAGAAAATTATTCCATTTTCCAGGTAGAATGGAAGTTGTGTGACCTCGCCGGCTCATTTCCTTCGTATTCTGTGGCATGTATCACTTTCCACAGCCAGGTTTCTATATGCCATAGTTTGCAACTAATCCAGAAAAATCTAGGAAACCTATCAGGCAAGAAGGTCTGTGCTGCTACAATTACTTTGGAGGAGAATGAACTGTCGCTGTCGCCTGCAGGGTAGGTGCTAGCAGTGCCCAGCTGGCACGGGTCTGGGTCCGCACAAGCCTGCCAACAGGATGACTCCCTTGCAATTGGTCAAGCGTGACTTTAAAAAAAATGTAGAGCTAACCAGATTTTTCGTTCTGAATTCTGTAATTGTCGCATGCTTAATCGCACATTGAAAAAAATGCAATTCTTCAGAAAGGTGTTTGAAAAGCAGCTGAAAGGGGAAAAATCCCACTAGAGGGAATTTTCAATTCATCGTTGCCAAAGAGTTCTTCCTCCTCTGCCCATCCCAATAAGGCTCCACTGTCACTTCTCCACTGACACCAGTCCCCAAGCTCACCAGTGACAAAATGGGTGCTTCATCCCCCGAGCCCCTTTGGGCTCCGTCTCCTTGACCTTTGGTGTATTTGGTCCAGGGAATGAAATACATGCCCCCTTCCTCCTCTCTCTCTTCTCTTGGCTCCTTTAACGACTGCCCACACCGATTCTCCTTCCCCTCCCAGCCCGTTCCTCACTCTTCTTTGCAGAGGCCCCTTTCTCTACTCTCTCCTCACTTTGAAACTCTTTTCTCGAGGGACAACATCACTGACCCTCACAGCTCAGATCACTGGCTGAAGGCAGGTGACTGAAGGCACTGCCATCTCCAGAGGCAGAGACCCGCATCTCTCACTGCCTCGTGGCCAAGTCCTAACGCTCAAACCCACCTGCCAGGCTGAATCCACGCACTCATTCCAGACCAGCCTCGTTTGCTGTGCCACCAAATGCAGAAAACGGCACCTCGCCCCTCAGCCAGCATCTCCGGGCGCCTCCGCTCCCTCCCGCCCCCTCCTATCCACCCTCCGAGCTCCTTCTGCCTAACCATCTCTGTTCCCCTCACTCTCTCTACCTTTCCGTCTGGACGATTGCAACAACTGTTCTCTTCCCTTTCCCCCCAACTCTGTTGAGATAAAGTTTACAGGTAACACTGTGGGATTTTAAAGTGTAACGGGATGATTTGATACACGACAGATAACGTGAAATGACCACAATAAAGTCAGATCACACGTCCATCCCCTCACACGTGGTGAGACAGCACTCTCACAGGTCACGCAGCCTCCACCCTGTCCCCTCTGATCCCAGCAGGTAACCAGAGTGATTCTTCTCAAAAACCAATCTGATAATGTTAACACCGCTCAGCGACTTTCCATGAGCCCAGGGGCAAAGCCTTCAGCCCCCGGACAAAGCCTTCATCCCCACACGGTGCAAAACCACATTATCTGACTGGTGCATCTCTCCGGCCTCATCTCCCACCCCTCTCCTCGGGGCTCTGTCACCCGGGGCTCTGTCACCCTCATGGGGGTCTTTCAGGGTCTGCTCTCTGGCCCCAGGCAGTTCCTCGGCCAACAAGGCTCCCCACTGCCTCCTGCTACCCTTTCAGGAGCTGGAATCACTTTCCCTCGGCAGCTCCCCTGACCTGGCTGTAGAAGGTCCCCCTCTGTCTGTCTCCTAACACGGGTTTATTGAAACTGGGTGGTTTACTTATTCATTCATTCATTTTTGTGCATCTTCCCCGTTAGCCTAAACGTGTTGTGCTGCTCCTCGCTGCGTTCTCAAAGTCTGGGCCACACCCACCTGCTCAGTAGGCCCTCAGCATTTAAAAGATAACAACCTTAAAGCATTACAGTAAAACTTAGTTACAATACTTACGGGCAAACGGGGAAAGAGCCCCAGTGTTTAAAAAGTAATATGGTCTATTAGGCTTCTTATTTTTGAGGTGAAATCTATCAGCAAAATGACCCATCATTGGGCAACCTTCTTTGGGACAACGGAAGCAATTTCCCTGGAGATGGGAAACAAGAGGTAATTAGAGATATAATTAGAGGTACTGTCCTTCAGTAAATGTATAAATTATTAGACAATAATAAATCTCTGGAATTTAAATAAAGTGTATGCATTTCAAAAGGACTCAGTTGCCTAACAGGCTACTCTACTTGTTTTCAAAAGCAAAATAAGATACAACTGATGGAAAAAGAAAAATGGTCTTTTGGAAAAATGTGTAAACGATGCAACTAGACAATCCACAGAAAAGGAAACTCAAATAGTCAATAACTATGTAAAAGCTACTCGATCTTACCAGTTGTCAGGGATGTGCTAATTAAAACAACATGCGATTTCTTACTCAGCAGATTTGCAAAAACTAAAACAATTGGCAAACCCAAGTGCTGGTGAAGACATTGAGAGGGGGATGCTCATTTGCTTCCGATGACGCTGCAGACAGCAATCTGCTGGGGTCTAACGAAGATGGAAATGCACATTGGCTCTGACTCTCTCACTTCCGTTACACACCATCAGGGCACTGCCGCCCAAATACAGAAGGGGGCATGCAGAGGTGCTTACTGCTTTTAACAACACAAACTGGAAACCGCCCTGGCTGGTGCGGCTCAGTGGAGATAGTGTTGGCCCGCACACTGAAGGGTCTCAGGTTCCATTCCTGGTCAAGGGCACGTACCTGAGTTGCAGGTTCGATCCCCAGCCCTGGTAGGGGTTATGTAGGAGGCAACCAATCAATGTGTGTGTCTCTTTCTCCCTCCCTGCCTTCCCCTCTCTCTAAAAATCAATGGAGAAAATATCCTCAGGTGAGGATTAACAATAATAACAACAAAAACAAAAAAACTGGAAACTACCAAAATGCACATTAGTGGGAGATGAAGAAATAAACTGGCTGATTCCTACAAAATAAATATATAGATCTATATACATCAGCGTAAAGATTTCAAATTTATAAAAGGTAACCAAAAAAGCAAACCCAGAGAGATATTTATTCTAGGATGCTGTTTATTTGATATATATCCGATTCACTTAAAAGTCTCCTTTAGGGGAGGTAGTGAAGGAATATACATTACCTCAATTCTTTAATTTTATCTGTATGTTTTAAAATCTGAAGCAAAAAACTAGCAAGATGTTAACTTTAAAAGATCTTGGGTAGTAGTGTTTGTATATTTGCAATTTTGGATTTGGGAGTGTTAGGTTTATAAACCATGGACATTTGGGCCAGGACTACAGGACAACATCCCATTTAAAACTCCAGTTTTAAAAAAGGGGAATTCTAACAAAACCAATTTCCTGAGCCTTCTGCAGGCCAAGCACTGTTCTAGCACTCGGTGCGCATTTAACTCAATTGATCTTCACAGAGCCCTGCATTCCCGTGATGCCGTGAGTCTCCCCTCCGCACAGGTGTGGAAACTGAAGAGCAGGACGTTGAACAACTTGTCCCGTGTTGCACGTCTGGTAAGTGATGAAACAAGAATACGAACCAGGGCAGCCTGATGCTAGAACCCCTCTTAATTTAATTTAATTTAAATTTAATTTTATGACTATTGGGGTAAAAATATAATAAAGCACTTCAAGGAAAGTGACTCAATGTTCTCTAAGTTTGTAAGCATAACTCACAGCCCCAGGAGCCTAAGGTTCCCCAGTCTGGCAGAGTGGACGCCACTGTCTCTGAAGGCCTGCGCCCCCGCATGGTGAATGCCGGGACCCCTCAGCCACCCAGAGCAGCATCGGCCCCGTGGAAGCGGGAGGTGGAGCCAAAGGAAGTGACAGGGGAACTGCCACTGATCGGCTGACCCGCTTTCTGAGAACGCAAGTTCACCAGGGCACGTTCAGGGGAAGGACCACTGGCTCGAGACGTGGGAAAGACGCCGAGGGCACCCACCCACCTTGCTCTGCGACAGGTGGGGATGCACCTCTCCACAAGGTGCTATCACTCGCAACAAACTCCAGAGGGAGCCCTGTGATTCCACCCTGATCGAACAGTGGTCTCTAAACGCAACAGGGAAATATCTTTCCACTTCTCACTGCAAAATAGATTTTCTTTTTCCTTTTCGTAGTGATAACCAAATGAAAAATATGCTCAGCTCAGATCCGACACCGCATGCTTCGCGACTCAAGTAAAATCAGATTTGGTATTTTGTCACATATTGATCTGTGTGGAACTCCTGTGAGCTATCTATGCCCCAGTTATGCTCTGTATAAATAATTAAATTTTAATAAAATAATTTCAATGTTCCAAGTGAATAGTAAGACATTTGGTTGTAGCTATTGATTGGTTCAGCTTTCTTGGGACATCTTTGAAGATGACATTTAAAATATATACATAAAAAAATTTTGCCCTGGATTTATTCCGTTATACAATAGCATCCAATTACTGCATAACAAATGGCCAAAAAAGCAAAATTGAATATAATGTTCAAAAGAGCTGAAACAACCAGAATACAAAGAGCTGGTTTACTTATTTAAACCCTTCAGCAACCTCAGTACTGTTCAGTACTCAGCACAGGAAGAATCTACTATTTCCCGAAGTAGCAGGTGCATTTTTTTTTTTTTTTTTTTACCACAAACTCAAAGCCCTAATTTTTAGTTGGCTGATCATGCTTCAAAAAAAAAAAAAAATGACTTGCTAATTAAATTCCACTGCAAAATGCCTTACTTACCGCTTTGAAAGATTCGTAGGATCTACAAGGATAAGCAATAAACGCATCGGGATTGAGAATGCTTTCCATATAAAAGCGATGGCTTCGGGCATGGTTGCAATCAAAGAAGGAAGCCACTTCTGTGAAAACACTTTCCAATGAACTGACAGCAATGGACGGATCAACTGATAACTGAGAGTATGAACCATTTCTTATACAAAGTAACTTTAAATGACAGTTTCTTGACTTGGGTCTAGATGGCTAGACCATGTGTGTATGCTTAGACATTGCACAACATTTATCAGCAATACATAGCATTTTCTTTGTCTCAAAAATTATTTGTGTGAATGTAAAGGGACATTCAAGCAAGGTGAATAAACAAATGCAAACGTAGATGACTGTATACTCTGACTCTAACACCCTCCAACTTCCTGGATCTCTGACACAGTACTTAGAGCTTTGAGCATCCCAGGGCATACAGCATCTCCTTAGACTAATTAATTTGTTTTCCAGTGTCTGCAGGAAGGACTGAACTCCCTGTTTGAACACAACACAGCGGCCAACCGTAACCAGTGCACACCTTCAGCTGAGCTTCAAGGTGTGGCAGGTGGGAGGTGTTATACAGGATGCTAAAGAGTATTTTGTCATTGTCGGGCATAACGTGATTGCCACCAATGTTTGGGATTATTGCAATAATCAGTAAGATCGATCTAAATACATTTGTGCAATACATCATAGCATCTTACTTATTTGTGTTCTTTCTCTTCGCTTACTTAGCATTTTTACCGTATGGCATGTATCCCAGTGACCTACACAGCTTGGCTGATCTTTAAGAACTTAGATTGTGGTTTTCATGTATGTGGTGAATCATTGTTCTCTAATAGCAGCCTCCAATGAGTCACTCCGTTGTAGGTCCTCACCCTTCTGCAGTATCCTGTTACCATTCCCTCCCTTCTAGAGACGGAGCCTATTTTTTCCCCGTCCTGGGTTACGGGCTGTCGTGTGACTGGATCTGAACAATGGAATGTAGAGGAACGGACACTGCAAGTTCTAGGGCCTTGGGTAGAGACCTCTCCGTGTGCATACTTGCTCTCTTGGAACCCAGCCTCCATGTTAAGAAATCCAGGTTAACTGGCTGGGGAGAGGGGCCCTGAGGATGAGACCACTAAAGATGAGACCGGGTACCAAAACCCACATGGGAGGCCACCTTGGACCTTCCGACTCAGCTTAGCCCAGCTCAGCCCCCAGCCGATGTGATCACGTGTTACCCGGGGGACACGGTACAAAGCAGAGTCTCTGCAGAACTCAGCCTGAATCATGAATCTTAGAATCCCGGGCATGAAACCATTGTTCTTTGAAGCACTGTGGTTTGCTATACAACAGGTAACTGAGAGGACATTACTTCACAGACGCAATGGTTGGCATCATCCTTTTTTTTTTTTTTTTTAATGAGGGAATCTTTTATATAAGCAGTCTCTTTTATACAGATTTATATTCATAATTAACTATGATTTAGACAAGATGGTTCATTGGAATATGAGGAACAATGAATTTTACAAGTAATGATTTCTTGGTAATAAATATACTGTACTATAGAATATCCTGAAGTCTTGAAACTCACCTAAAAACTTAACATGATTGATAAATGTGCTTTTAATTCAATAAAGTTGTAGGAACTCTTATGTCTCAAAATGATAGCTTATGACAAATGCATGTTTTACTTAAATTAACTCTTTACCGAATTTCAAATACTTATTATCATATCATCATACATTATATTATTACGTAGAAAAATGGAATTCCCAAATAATAAATTTTAGGTGCCTTTTAGCTAAGTGCCCTATAGTTGTTATCATCATCATCATCATCATCATTATAAACATTATTGTAAACGGTTAAGTGCTATTTGTTTAATTTATGATTAATTTAATTTGTGGTCCAGAGTAATCTGTCAAAAAGTGAGTCAAACCACATCTCTCCTCTGCTCAAAGTCCTCCCAGAGCTCCCATCCTACTTGGGTAAAAGCTGACATCTTTGCTGTCACCCATACGGCCTGTCCTGTCTCCCTCTGCCCGGTTCCTTCTCTAACCTCAGGCCCTACTTCTCTCCTCTCTTTCATGTCACTCCAGCCACAACAGGCTCCTTACTGCCAGAACCGCCAGGCAGGCTCCTGCCTCAGGCCCTTTGCATTTGCTACGCCCACCCCCTCAGTCGGGAATGCCCTTCCCCACAGGTATCCGGGTGGCTAACTCCTTTAGGTCATCTTTTCAGTAAGAATTCCCTAGCCACCCTATCACAAACCTCCTTTCCCCACCACCCCTCTTGTCAGCAACACATCTATTTCCATTCCACACCTTCTTCTGTTTCCTTAGCACTTACTCTATTATTGTTTATCTAGCAAATTAGAATATTAGCTTCACCAGAAAGAGATTTTTGTCTTTTGTATTCATTCTTACACCTGCTGATCCTCAAATAATGCCTAGCACTTAATAAGCACTCAATACATATTTACTGATTGAATGAGCCCTCCCGGGTTATATTGAGGGACTACAATATGCTAAACATGCTTTAGGCACCGAGGATACTAAGCAACTGAGACAAGAATGCTGACCTTGCAGATCTCACAACTACGGGGGCTCCACACATGTGACTATATATATATATATATATATTTTATTATATATTATATTATATTATATTATATTATATTATATTATATTATATACAAAAGGACGTGGAGCCTGTCCAAGGAGAGAGCTGAGTGAAGGGGTAACCGTAGCCTCCCTATTTGAGAAAGTACTTACCTTCCTTGTAAGCAGTGAAGTCAAATTTCAACAGCGGTGTAACCAAGTCTTCACATCCCGGCATGTGTTTCCCTCCATTTGGGTAAAAGTCAAGGTGTCCACAGGCGTTAATAGTTCCGGCACCTGAAACAGATCAACGCAGGAGGAAGGCTTCTGAATTCTCCTCTTCGCTGCAGTGTAGTTTCTGCTTGTGTTTAAAATTTACTTACCAAGCTCAAAGAAGAACCGAGCTGCATTGGTATGAATGACATCGACGAGGCTGGCATCCGAGGGGTCCAGCCGGACGCGGTTTGGAGTGTTGTGGAAATACGGCCCAGCTGGGTCCAAGCCTAGGGAAGAGCAAATGGCCCATTACACCGACTCACGTGCTAGTCCCGAGTACGTCAACGGTGTTGCTATTTTGGAGGGATAGATGGTGAAGGCAAGGTGTTCTTTTCTATATGCTTTGCATAGATCGACACCTCCCAGGGCAAAGCACAGGTACAGAGACCAGGCGCACAGATGCAGGGTCTGTGTATATTGCAACGTCAGATTCCCACACACAAGGAAGAATCTGTGTGCGGGCGATGCTAACGAAGCCAGAGAAGTCAAGGGGCTTTTCTATGGGTACATGGAGGTCTGTGTAAACAGTCAAGGTGATGCAGTGAGATGGATGGTCTTGAACGGAGCATCTACATGCCAAACAGGAAACTAACACAACGTGGGAGCTCTTCAGAATGGCAAGATGCAGCCACAAAGCAACAACTTGACACCGCAGAGTCCTAGTCGTCGGCTAGGCCTCGTTTGGTTCCACTTCGTGACATGGGAAAAATGAGAGGCCTGAAGCCCAGCGACGTGAGGTGACTCGACAAGGTCACCCAATGTTAGAGGCACAATGGGCCAAGAGCCCAGGTGTCCAGATTCTCTGCTCATGGTCCCCTGTTCAGATGTCTACTAATAAAATAAAGGTCAGCTATCTAGAGGTCTCTAAAATGTCACGACCACTGACATATCTGCTCATTTACACATTCAGCAATTATTTTCGAAGCATTTACTATGTACCAGGAGCTAGAGCTTAGCCATTTGGGATCTGAGTTTATTACTGTGTGTGTTAGCAGAGAGGAAGTAATCTCTTCTCAAATGGAAAAAACACTGATGCACTTGACAGATTAAAACAATATCACCTTGAATCGACTGAGTAACCCCCGTGCTATAGTCATTCATTGTTATTCATGAAGCTTCCCTGCCAGTTATAGTAATTACCGTAGACAGAGAAACTTATGCATGTCTTAGAATTTATCATACTGGTTTTGTTTTAAAGTAGTTTATTATAAAGTTAAAATCTTTCTTGAGGTCTCAATTCTTTTGTTACTCAAGGAACATGATTTTTAAAAAATTAACCACTTAGAAGGACTATAGATTGCAACACCCAAATTATGTAAACTCTTTGGATGTTCAGAGAGCCTTTAAAAACGTATTGTTTTCTGTTTACTCGATAGGATAATTCACTTGGCATAGGAAAAAAACTGGAGTTATATAGTATCTGATTTTTAAAATAAGAATTAAGAGAAACGAATCTTTGTGAATGCATTGTAACCCACTGTGAATTTTTAATACAGGTATGGTAATGTTCTTCCCTGTCATTTATGGTGTAAATTCCCTCCAGGGTGTGAGGCTCCGTGAGGGTCCATTTTCACAAACTGTGTTCTTCTTGCCCCTGGACTTGAAAACTTAGAGCAAAGGGGGATTTTTGCCACCCAAGGACTCCAGAATAAGAATCCAACTTTATGATCCTAAGTAAGCATGCTGGTGGTGGGCGGGGCTGCAGCTGGGGCCAGGGAGTTGGGAGTAAGTGGAAGCTTTCGGCTGGAGAGCCTGTTATATCAAGAGACTGCAGAGGCAAAATAAGCTCAATTTGAAATTCTTAACTGTTTTTATAAAAAATAATTTTCATTGAAATTTGAATTTAAAGCGTGTGTGTGTGCGCACGCACACACAGAACTGTGGTCTATCATTTTAATAAACAGCAAATGTGTACCTACTACGTGCCTGACCTGAGGCTTTCTAAGTAGTTCGGCGTCTATTGAAAACAACAGGCACGTGAACATGATCGGACCACATGACACAGTATTTGCATTTCAAAATAGCATACAGGTCGCATTTCCCAGAGCGTGGGAAGCCTGGAGTGCACTGTCCTGAGGAAGACACATCTGAGGTGCCTCTCGAAGGACACACAGTGGGTGTTTAGGGCGAGGGACAAGGTCACATGCCAAGGCACAGAGATATGAGAAAACACCATGTCACATGAAATGTTTCTAGGACAAGCTAAGAAGCCTCAGGCAGGGGAAAGTTTCAGGCAGCGGAGGGACCCAGCCTGTGTTTAGAAAGCTGGTTGTTCTTGTGAAGACGGCTGGGGCACCAGGCACCATGGCCAAAGCCCAAGAAATGGAGAGGGTCGAGGCCAGTGGCCAGGGCCTGGAGAGGCGTAAATAGGTGAAGGAGACATGGGACTCTTAGCTGACTGTTGGAGGATGCAAAGGAGGGAGAGGCCAGCTCAGCTGGTCTGGGATGGAGCTGATGTCCTGACCTCCATCTGACTCGATTGTTTTGGAAATCAGAGTGCAGGGAAGGAGTATGACTACTTACCATCCTCAAAAGCCTAATTCACAGTATATACTTTACTTTGCAAGTATTTTTAGACGTAACAGTATACCCAGGGGTAATACGAAACATTTTAGCAGTGGGAACAGCACAGGCGCGGGCGGTAACCCGGTTCCATATCACCAGCGCGCACCGAGGGCGCGGACATCCCTCCTGGACCGTCGGTGGAGCTCCAACTCGTTCTCTGTATTAGCGGGTACGGGACTGCAAAGCCTGGGATGTGTCATAATCTTCCAGCCACCTGCTGCAGGTGGCGGATCACCTGGCTCCCGTTATTGTCCACGGACAGCGCTGCGGCGAACATCCGTGAACGTGGTGTGCACACAGTGAGGGAAGGCACATCCACGCTCCCGTTTAGGTGAGTCCCATTTCTCACATTTTAGATTTGCTTCTGGTGCTCCATGTGGTGTTCGGGTGTTCGGCTACTTAACTTGGCGAGTAAGAATATATGTGAACAAATTCAACGCCCATGCGCGACGCAGGCTTACCGGTGATTCTCCCGAGGCCTGGCGTCCTTGACCCCGCCTCCCCCGCCAGATGGGCTCCCAGGCTGTGGCCGATCAAGTGCACTTTAGAAGGGGAATATCCGAACCGTTTCTGATGGGATTTTAAAAAGGAAAACAGAACAGATATTTTTGAAAGAGTAGGTTGCATGGCTTAAGTATGTTTAAAAAGAGAAAGGTACCGACATGTTTCTCCCTCTCACAGATAGGGTGGGGCCGGCAAGGTGACACGGTGACATCCACACCCACCTGTGTCCTCATCTGGCTGAAGGAGAGTGCACCAGGCAGACCTGGAAGAATGCCTTCTGCCCCTCTCCCTGTGCTAGGGGACCTCACGGTACCGGGGAACAGCCCAGGGACGAGTCTGTGGCTTCCAGCCCACGCTCGTCCTTCCTGCGCCCGAGCCGTCCTGCAGGGCCCAGCACGGGTCAAAGGCAGCCCACGCCCACACTTCCATCCACAGCGCCGCGTCCGTCTCCTCCGGTTTAAGGCAACTCCAGCAAATGTCTGGGGTGCCATGGGACTTAGAAGAGCCCACAGCGCAGACCCCAGGATCAACGAAGAAGTCCCCATAAACGTATGACTGGATTTTCTCTGAAGATTAATCCGATTTCATCCTTTGTATACAAAGACCCACTCTAAGTCTACTCTCCCTGACAGAGGGGGCGGAGGGGGACGTGTGGGGGCAGAGGGAGGCGTGGGGGCAGGGGGAGGCGTGGGGGCAGGGGGGAGGCGTGGGGGCAGAGGGGGAGGCGTGGAGGCAGGGGGAGGCGTGGGGGCAGAGGGGGAGGCGTGGGGGCAGAGGGGGAGGTGTGGGGGCAGAGGGAGGCGTGTGGGGGTACTACAGGAGTAGACAGAAAAGTGTAGGGACAGACAGGGACAGGTGGGGCCAGAGATGAGTACTGGGCTCCCCAATTCTTCTCCAGGCCGTTTTCCACCTGTGCTCAGTGTCCCCACCTCGCCTTCCCTGACCGCCCATCTAGTTAGCTGCCAGTCTCCCTCCCTTGCTTTGGATTTCGCCATAGCACGGGGCCTGCACTGTCAGAGCGGACACACTGTCATGCCTGCCGTGTACCTTCAGTGCCCAGGATGGTGTCCCGCTCGCAGCAAGTGCAAAGGGAAATATCTGTTGACTAAGTGAGTGACCCCTCCTTAAGGATCTGAAAGGGTCATGAATCCTTAGATTTTACTTCGCTGCATTTTATAGTGGTGGAGCATTTGGAAATGTGCAAGTGTCTCTGCGTACATCCCTAATAACAGTGTCTACTGACTCAGAAAGTGTGTGAGTTACAGAGTTGTGCCTGGACCAGCCTGCAGACCTAGGTCACCGCGGTAGAACCCAAATTCCGCAAGAAAATGCACTTCACGTTCTAAACAAAGAAGCCATTTCCTAAGATGGAAACGGTTAATAATCATTAAGGATAGTTTTGCAACGTGATGAACTCAAACAGCAATGGTCCTACAGGCAGATCAAGGTAGTGACCTTGACCGGGATACGGTGGGGGAAGCCTTTGGTGAGGAGCTGGTAAAGGAACACTGCCACCTAGTGTTGCTGTGTATAACTACAGGCGCTTTCCCAAGAAAGCACCCTTCTCTGGCTGCCACCCAGGAATACTTACTACTTGTGTAAGTACTTGTGTAAACAAAAGAACATAAAATGGCCCCCAATTCTTGGTGTTATTATGCAAAAGCAATTAAATATGATTTTAAAAGAATAACTCTTCTTACCACGAGAACATCAATAAAATAAGCCACCTCAGCTCCAGCAACACGGAGATTGTTGACAGCATGGATGTATTCCAGGGAACCGTTAATCCAGTTCAGATTAATGCAGTTCACATCTTCCACTTTTAGCAACACCTGGTACAAAGATGTACTATAAGTATTACAGAAATAAGAATGAAAGGAAACCCAGGTGCCTGGACAGTTGATTCGACAATAAGAAATGACATCGGCAGGGTCTACTGCATGCTAGGCCCTGTCCTAACTCTTTTACATGTATGAACTTATTTAAGCCTCGTTTACAGGTAAGGAACTAGAGGTTCAGGTAGGTTAATTAGCTTGCCCATGATCACAGAGCCATAAGTAGAACCATGATATGAATTCAGACAGCCTGATTCTACCACACTTGATGGCCTTATAAATAATTAATTGCTTGCTATGTTAGCAGTGTATTAATCTTGAGTATAAGAGAGGGAAACTAATTTCTTGAAGTGACATTAGAAATGTTTTTCCTTTAAATTAAACAAGAAAGTGATCCTACTATTCCATTTTTGTTTTAGTGAAAGATGAGAATTTACCAAAGAATTCATTAAAAAAAAAATATGTCCCCATTATAACCTATGAAATTCATAATAAGTGAAAATAAATGGAAAATGAGTAATTCACGTCAGGCCTTCGAACATGGACAATGTGAGGAACCGAATGGAGGATCCTCATGAATATGCATTAACATCATGCAAAGTACATTCACGTTACATATAAACTTCACTGCTAAAGAAGACCTGTTCACGTCATACATTGCACATGTCTCGCTGCCATTTTCCATCTGATTTCCATCCAGGGATGTTGATACGAGTCATCTTGTCTGTGCTGAAGTATGAGGCTTGGATAGTTTGATAATGAACTGCACTGATCTCCTGTTATGAGTTAAAAGAGATTTAGGTGACATAAAAATTCAAAATTACTTAATAGGTAGTAGAATTATTCTAAATCTGTTCAAAAGTCTTTCACTAAATTAATTTTTTTTTTTTTTTGGTATGTGCCCCTAGCGGGAACTGAACCCGGGACTCTCTGGTCCGCAGGCCAACACTCCAACCACTGAGCCAAACCGGCCAGGGCACTAAATTTAATTTTTGAAAATCTTCTTTAACACATTTTTACCAAAGAAATTGTTATTGATGCATACTGCAAAAGTACCAAGAAATTATTAATGCATTATAAAATGTAATATACCAATTCAATCATGAGGAAAGGAAATAAAAATATTTGGTTTTGAGGCAATGTCTTTAAGACAAAGTTGGGTCGGCTTTTGTCAGAATTTCAGTAAGTCTTACTTTTGTGTAGCATTCTCACTTGTCAATGTACTTCATGGGAATTGCCTTATTTGGCAGTTAGAAGCTACTAGGGTGGCAAAATAGATTGTCCACCCACTTTATGAGGTTAGAATCTCACCATGTGAAAGACAACAGCATATTAAAAATAACTTCATGTGATTACATTATTTTGTGTTTCTTATATTTTGTTGATTGGTTTTATAAGCAAACTCTCAAAGACTTCAGAATACTATGAACTTCAGTAATTTTATTATTAAGAGGAAGATTAAAAGGCACAAAATACAAGAAATTCTATTAAGACAAGAATAAATAACCAGCAAATAGCAAGTCTGACAATAGTGAATCCTATAATTGGAAAGCCACACATTTAGATACTTAAGAAATGTAAACAAATAGTCTATTACTAACTGTTTGTCTTAATAGTGATATGCCATTAATGATATAGCTTGCTGGCTAAAGTATCTCCAAGACTGTAAGCAAACAATTATGAGAATCAGAAGTTGGTTTACATAGTCATTACAACAGAACTCACACTCATATCTGTCTATGTGTGAGAAATTGTTCTGCAGGTCAGTATAGCTCAGTGGCTGAGCATTGACCCATGCACCAAGAGGTCACCAGTTCAGTTTCAGGTCAGGGCACATGCCCAGGTTGTGGGCCTGATCCCCAGTGGGCGGCAGGCAGAAGGCGGCCAATTGATGTTCTCACTCATCTATGTTTCTCTCTCTCTCTCCCTCTCCCTTCCTCGCTCTCTAAAATCAATGAAGGAAAAAAAATTAAGAAATTGTTCTAAGTACTTTATAGAGCAGCTTATTTAACATTCACAGCACAGTGAGACAGGGTACCATTTTTACAAATCAGGGAGGGGCACAACGACAGACATCAAGTCACTTGAACAAAAGTACTGTAGCCAATGAGTCCTAAGCTCAAAAGCACATGGGTTTTCTCTCAAGTCCTGAGCTTAACCATTGGGCTCTCAAGCTGTGATCTGATCAGTGTTCTTTGCTAATAGGGCCCAGACCAGATGTGGGATTTTCTGAGGCAGGAAATAAAATCAATTGTATTCAGGCTTTGTCGAAGCACTTATCTGCTAAGTAATGGAATCCAGGGGCAAACACATTTGTCCACCTCTGCATTTAAAAGAATCCAGATGCTGATTCCAACTCCAGCGGGAGCCCCTTAAACACCTACTATATTTCTGTTTCTACACCCAAAAAACCTATCTTGGAGGAAATTTAGTAGAAAAAGTTTGTTTAGTTTTTCCTCATCAAGAGAAGAGTTTGAAGAAGGGGGACCCCAGGCAAGTCTCAGGGTGGCAATCAGACAAGTATTGTGGGATCTGAGCACCCTCTGTCATCACAAGAGCCACTGAGGAATTTAATAAAGTAGAAAAGGTAGAAGAAACATCCTGATCACTTTTCCTTCCATCTGGCACACCCCGGTGACATGGCACACTGACTTAGAAAGTGGGAAACACCGGGCACCATGGGATCAACAGACATGAACGGGGACTCTGCTGTCACAAGGAGAGAACAGAAAAGGATGCCACACATGTTATCCGGAGAAAGGGCTCAAGTACCGATGTCTAGCTGGGGGCTGGGCCTTTTCTCTAAATATTCTTATCTTTGGGGAGTCACGGAGCCTGGCGGGTACGAAATCAACCCGCTCGACAGCTGCTGACTACTTCACGGGTGAGCTCACTTCCAGTGTGTCAGAACAGTCACCACTTAGGTATGTGCCAACCTTGACAGTGGCTACAGGCGCACAAACTACCAAAATTATGCAAAATGTGCAGCGCCCCACGCCCGTGCGAGCCACCGTAGGTCAGAGAGCCGTGGATTCGTGAGGGAGGGGTTGTGCAATTACTGCAGAAAGGCAGCTGTGAGGACCCAGGACTCAGATCGCACGGCATTGCACCCAGTTCCCCGACATTCCCCCTCCGGGAAAGGACTGTGCTAACCCCGCGCAGTCTACCTCTGCGTTCTCATGCCCGGCGCCGTCAGACTCGTACTGCACAGCATGTGGGTCCAGCCTAGGACGATCTTTTTTTCTTCTTTTTTTTTCAGTATAACACTTTGACTCACCCCATGTCCTAGCTGTTGCTAAAAAGCATTTTAACAACAAATCCTCAGGCTTCTGTCCATTGCAGATTTCAGCTACAGATCTAGTTTGTCACACATGATTCTTTCCAAAAGGAAGGGAGTGGAGAAGACCCAAGGAACATTGGTTTTATGGTCCCTTTATTAGGACAATACTTGGTTTCTGATGTTCTCTTCATGACCTTTAGGGCCCAGCCTCGCCTTAAGACTAGTCTTCATCATCTGTCTTAGTGCCTGGGCTCTACGAGGTTCAAGTGCATGACCACTGTACAACAGGATGAAGGACCAGTGAGTCCAGGTGATACAGCTAGTCCTAAATGGACACATGTACTCCAAACCTCCTGAACCGCCAGAGGTGCCCCAAACATTTGTATTCAACACAGATTCTCTTCACATTTGAAAAATCATGATAAACTGTACGTACATAAGTTTCCATTGAGACGGTGGCTCCATGTGCAATTCAAGCACTGTCAGTCACACTGGTGTGCAGCTGGGACCACCCCCCTCCAAACGAAAACTGACCCCGCCCCTCCTCCCCCAGTAATCCCTGTTCTGCTTTCCGTCTCTATGAATTTGATTGTTCGAGGTACCCCATCCAACTGGAATCATACAATATCTGTCCCTTTGTGTCTGGTTTCTTTAATTCAGCAAAATGTTTACAAGGTTTATCCATGTCGTGGCGCCTATCAGAATTCCATTTAACACTGAGCAGTATATGAAAATCAAACGTTTGGCAACGCTTTCTCTAGCAGTTTCTCTATACTGACAATAAGGACTTTTCTTCTGGGTTTTGGGTAGAGTAGTCGCCTACAGCACGGATGGCACGTTCCAGTAAAGAGCTGTGTGAACACACGTGTGTGTCTGGCAGAGGCAGCGACAACGCGGATTCTGTTTGCATGACGGGGCATAGCAGAGGCCGTCTGGCTGGTAGGCCTGCCCGTGCGTGATGGCTCAGATGGAGAGCAAGCCTCAAGGTTATGGATGCGGGGGAAGACTGCAGATGGTCTTGCCGGAGGAATGCTCCTTCTCTGACCCCCCTTCCAGGCTGCTCCCTAAAGACCGTGCCCCACTGGCTCTAGTCTGTGTTTTTTCTCTGCCCCTGAGACTGCACACATTCTTCGGGGTTCAACTTTCACCTCTGGGTAAAAGACTTCTGAACCCCTTTCTCCAGCTCTGGACTGCCCCCAAGCTGTAAGACTAAAACTCTAGAAGCCTGCCCGAACCTCCTGTCCAAAATGAAACTCATTCTCTTTCACCCTGAATTAGTCTGATAAGAGGATCAGTGCTCTTCCAATCATGCACATGTGGAACCCAGGACAGTTTATGACGTTTACCATGTCAACTGTCTGTCGTCAAGCTCACGCAGGACTCTGGTTCAGGCTAGCGCCCCACGCCCCGTCCAACAGCACTGCAGCCTCTAGTCGGGGCTGCAGTAGGACTTCCTGGGATCATAGGACTACCTGTACGTGCACTGTCCAGTAGGGACGCCACTAGCCGTGTGTGGCTATTAAGGACTCACAATGTGGTCAGTGTAGCTGATGAACCAAATTTTTAATTTAATTTAATTTAAATAACCATGTACGGCTAGTGGCTACTGTGTTGGACAGCCCAGTACTAAGTGTTCTGGCCGTCACCAGCAGGCTCTCCCAGGGCCAGGCTAGAAGGTACACTTGAGCAGAGTAAATGTGCTAGAGCCTCTTTAAAAGCTCTCAATGGGGCCTCACGGTTTCAAGGGTGAGATCAAAACTCCACAGGAAGTAATTACAGGATTTGAGGACTTCCTTTCTGTCCCCAGTCCAACCTAATCTTGTCCATGTCACACCCTTTGCCATTTCCCTGTCTGTCTCTCCTTATAAAAACCCCAGCACCCTCAGGACACACACCTCAAATGTGTGTTGCCCTCAAAGCCCTTCCTGGTCACCACCTCCAGGAAAGGGGACGGTAAGGCCGTCCTCACTGCATCTCCAGGGCTTAGATCACAGACGAGAATTTGTGTTGCAATAAAGGTATTTGTTAACATATGCCATTTCCCCTAATATCATACACTCAAGACACTGTCCTGCTTGTTCAATGTAACACATAATAGGCACTGTGGCTTGACACAGTCTTACACGTGGAAGGCTCTCAATTAATATCTTAACTGGACAAAGTACCAAATTTACCTCATATAAAGTAACCTCTGCAGAGCAATTTTCATAGTTAAACACCAGGATGAATACTATTTAAAAAAAGATCTGCCCACAATTGTATAGAAAGAAATACATGCCTTGAAATCGATAGTTTGTGCCCGAAAGGGTTTCTGCTTCTGTGTTCTCCGTCCACAGCTACAGTTCCTGCTTTAGGACAATCTGTGCTGAAGGCGGCAGGTCGCTTACCTGGTGGGCTCTGCGGTTGCGTCTAGTGTAGAGCAGGAAGCGAGTGTTGATCTGCTCTGGAGACCAGGGCAAACCGGCGAACTGCCTTGACCAAGTCCCGGTCCAAGGTGAGCCATCCCTAAAGCACCCCACCCTTTCATAGCAAATTTCTTTTCCTGCAAGAAAAAGATCGAGCGTCCGTGATGTAGGAACCAGGCCCAGAGAGGCTGTGTTTCCCACTCCGAAGATGAAGTGAAATTAGTCTTTAAGTTAAAGAAGTCTGACTCAGGGAATGTGTCTTCAAAAAATGTGCCCCCGCCCCACCCCCATTCATGACCATGACCGTGGAGATCACAACACTTCAGATGAGAGAGTATGGGCTTTGGAATCAGACATTCCTGGCTTTGGGCAATTATTTAACCTTTTTAGAGTCTCACCTTCCTGCTCTGCAAAATGGAGATAATACCACTTACCTTACAGCCTTGTTATGAAGACTCAATGAGCTATAACACAGGAAACCCCCTGTGACTGGGCCTGAGACATCAGATGAGATGCTGTGCCCTGGCTGGGGAGCTCAGTTGGTTAGAGCGTTGTCCATACGTCAAGGTGGTAGATTCCAGCTCCGGTCAGGGCACACAGAGCAAGCAACCAGTGCATGCATACATAAGTGGAGCAACAAATCAATGTTTCTCTCTTTCTCTCAAATCAATAAATATAAATAAATAAAATTTAAAATGAAATGAGATACTGTGTCTTCCCTGAGCTTCTGTCTTTTCTTGTTGGACTGATGAATGGGATCTTTGTCCCCAGAGCCTAGCTCCATGCCTGGTACACAGTAGGAGCCTAATGTATGTTTCCTGAGAGCATAAGTGAGAGCAAAGTTTCACTTAGTTTTAACCAAGTTTCTCCTTTCCAGAGCTCACTGTACGCATCCCTAAACTGAAAGGCTTTAGGGAAACTAAGTCTTCATCATTTCTGTCATTCACTGACTCAAATTCGTCCTGTCACTGTGACCTTTCGTTTTCATTTTTATTTAATATTCAAAAACAAATAACTTCATTTCATGCTGTTTTATGGAGGGATAGTTCAATTTTTCAATTATGATTATAATTTATAATTATTCAGTTTATGATTGGATTATTTGTTCAATTTATTGTTATTACTTCTTACATTTATTATAATTGATTCATGTTATGGTCATTTTTTAGTATTGGTTAGAGCTTTTTGAAGACTTGAATTTTAGGATTTTTTTTTCTTTATTAAAAATTAATTGAATTTATTGAGGTGACATTGGTTTGCAAAACCATACAGGTTTCAAGTGTACAACTCAATAAAACATCATCTGCAGACTGTATCATGCACCCATCGCCCCAAGCAAAGTCTTTCTGCCCCTCTTCCCCCCTTTGCCCACCTCCCCGGGCCCCCCTCCCCCTTTCTCAGCTAGCACCACACTGTTGTCTAGATATGCTTTTTCGCTAATGAGGATTTTCTTTCATCACTTAACAAAAAACACTAAATAAGCCTTGACTCTCAGATCTACCAACTTTCAACATCAAAATTTTATATTTCACATTTGGAGGGGTGCTGGTTCTCCGGAGCTGGGGTTTGGGCCCCCGAGAAGGGGTGCTCGCTATTGCTGGCATCATTGACGGGGCATCATGAGTCTGGTTCTTGGGGAGCATCAAAAACTATCAACTGGAACCAACACCTGCTACTGGGATGTCCATGCTCCAGCGAAAAGCCAGTGATGGAAAAACGCAGACAGGAACCTCCCTTCTGCCACGGGAGCATCAGCGCCCCCTAGAGTCCTTACTGACAATGCCTCTGGGACGTGCTACCAAAGCAGAGGCCAGCTCGAAGTCTCCACTCCTACTCCTGGACAATCAATAACACTTAGCTCAGTTACCGGCTTCTGCTGTAAATTTAGTCCTCTTCTATTTCGTGATCCATACCTCATATTCCTTACAACCTGACTCCCTACCTTTGCAACATGAACTTGAAAGCCACCGCCTCTCCCTGTCTCCCGCCCGCTCTCCTCCCCAGCTGCGCTCCGCTTTCGCGCTGTCAGCATTGATAACATTCAGTCTTCGTTCCATAATCATAATAAGGTCTTCCATGTTCTGTCTGTAGGCTGATTCCAAAAATCAATAAACAGAATTTATATGATTATGACGAGATAAATATTTTTCCTGCCAGAGCCAGCTAGCACGCTATAACTACATTTCCTTCTCTGCACGCCCATTATTCAGATTCCAACCCTTCACAGGACAATATTCCAGTGAATTCTCTTTTCTTACCCATGGATTGCTCAGGATCAGTGCCATTTTCGTTTGCTCCATATTTGGATCATGGCTTTTTTGTGCCGTTTTGGTTTTCCTGGTTGCCTTTGTTTTCTCCTGTTGGAAGCGTAAATGTGCCTTCCTCAATCTATCCCTAGCACAGGGCAGCTTCCCACCAAGACATCTCCTGCCACAATCCGTCTGCTTTTCTCTTGCAACACACATATGTCCAGCTCTAATTTGGAGCAATGATTTCACACTTGGACTTTTGCCTTTCTAATACGACCTTCTATTTTCCCTAGAATGTCCAGATGCCTTTACTTTTTGCATTCTATGGCTTTACCCCAAGTTCTCAACTACATTATCCTGTCTATGGGAGAGAGTTTGGATTTTGAAATAAAGATTGTTGTAAATGTTGCATGTTATCTATGCAACGTCCCAGGGTTATAAAATTAGAAGAAATTAGATGTGATGGGAGAGACTGATCAACATCATAGGCATTAAAGCCACTTAGGAAAAAAACATGTGTTTACTATAAAATTAATAAGTTGAAATTGGACCAATAACTTAAATAGGCAATAAAAGAAAGGATAGGTACAATATTAAACCAGGTGCTAAGAATAGACAAAATCAATAACTACTATATAGTAAATGCAAAAGCAGTCCACAGATAAAAGGTACAAGTCATCAATGTTCCTCTCTCTCTCTCTTTCCCCCTTCCTTTCTCTAAAACCAATGACAATCATACCCTCGGGTGGGAGGGGAGGGAGAAAAGGAAAAAAAATGTCCACAGACAAATGTTCCTTCTCAAAATCATGACACAAGTGAAAAAAATCAACATGGAAATTCCAATCAGCATTAACCACTTCATTCATTCATTCATTCATTCATTCATTCAATCAAACATTGAGCATCTACTGTGAGTCAGATGCTGAAATTAGAAATATCTAGTTTCTCATTTACTCCTAGAAATGAAGAAGTTGAGGCTTCAGTGGATAAGTTATTTGACCAAGGCCATGGGCCAGTAAAAGGCAGATCTGGGAGCCAAGTAAAAGACTATGCAGCAACTTTTATATTATTGGAAAGAGACGCTTCACAATTGCTCCTCAGATGAATTCGGCATTATAAAATTGATGCATTTTCCTTAGGTAATTGTATGTAAATCAAGTAAATCAAGATATAAACAGAACCCGTATTTCAAAGTCCATGTCAACGACTTTGTGGTTGTGAACATACTCGTTCTTTTTAAGGAATTTATTATTAAGTTACGAGTCTTACCTGTTGATGTGCCAAAGAAGAAGAGTGCAGCAACCCAAATTCCAAACATCTACGTTGATTTTTTTTAAATCACACACACACAAAATCTTCTTGGAGATGTTTACTTGTAAAATCACCTTGCTATAAAATTTTCAGCAGTTTTCTTGCAAATGACCCCACTCACTAAGTTCCGGGTCCGGAGGGACAGGGAGCTGACAGCGCCTCGGATTCTCTGCCTTGCTGAGTGAATGTGCAGTACTCAGAGCCTCGCTGCTCCTTCAGAGAGGTAATTGGCGGGGTGTGTCTTGCATTGTGTGACTGGTAATTAAAACTTCTGAGGTTTTTCTGTTTCCTCATTAGTAATATTTTGGTGAGGCACAGACCGAGTCACTCTTGAAGGTTATTTTAAGGCTTTGGGATGCTGGATAACAAACATCTAAAAGGTAAAAATTTCCAAACCAGGATTATACATGTTGAGCAATTTTTCCCCTGACTCATTTCTGAGTACAAATATCCACTTAATACAAACAGACCCGGCTAAAATATAGATTAAACGATGAACACGGCCAATCTGCCTGTCTTACCTGTGTGCTAATATACCATAGCAGTTGCTGTACCCTAGCCTGGAGCCTGCTCACCTGGGTCCAAATTCTGCCACTAATTAGCAGCAATTCTGGGCTAGTAAGTCTGGTTGAGCCTTTCCTTGCCTGTAAAATGGGGATAATCATGGTTCCTAGCTCATGGGATCATTTAAGTGATTGGATTACTAATTCTATGAATAGTACCTAGTATATAATAAGTACCGTATTTGGTGTTAACTTTATTACTGTCATTTTTCAACTATGCTAATGGTTATGAGACCAAGTTTATGTTCACATATGGCTAGATACACCTTTACCTCATGCACATGGCCTTCACAATACACTTGGATGGAAAGCAAACTTGCCTTTCTGGCTACTTCATGAACTTAAAGTGAAGAGCAAATGCAATCCCCAGATAGCCTTAGTCCATGTCTCAGTTTTCAAGTGTTCACAAAAGATGGCTGAAGGTATTTCTTGGCTTTTCTTACTTTTTTACCCTTACCATAAAAACATTAAAATGTTAAAGCATTATGAGGTATTCAGTTTTTTCACACAAACCCCAGCTCTGGAGGACCAGCACCCCTTCCCATCTAGAAGCCCCATCCCCAAGTTGCCACGTTGGAATAACTCAGAACCTTCCATTTCTTCACCAGCCCTGGGGCGGGTAGCTGGTCCCTGCAGTTATTCCCTCCGAGCTGCTGCCGGGGCCCTGTTGTCTTCAGTTCTCCCAAACCTGGTTCACAACCATGCTGTGTTAGACTCTCACAGGTACAGTGACCGGCGAGGATTATGAACAAGAGTAAGTCTCAGCCGGGGGCACCTTATTGGGTTGTTTCCTGGAACTCACAGCCGCCAGTCCGCCTGGTGTGTGCACACACAGCGTTAGGGACTGGACTGCTCAGCAGCACCGAGGCCGGGGCCTGGCCCATTCCGTGTCCAGCGACTACGCCATGCACAAGACACACTCCAAAAGCTTCGCCAGTTACAACTGAACATTTTTTCCAAGAGGCATTTCAAGAATCAATGCTTTCAGCCACACATGTAGGGTCAGCATGAATAACGATCATCAGTAGCACCTCTGGGAAGAACATATTCCAAGGGACACACACAATGCTTGGAACTGAGTAGGAGCTTAATAAACATTTTTAAATGACAAAAAACGATCTACAGCCATAAGCAAAGAAAGAGTGAACTACAAAGAGAAACACATGAACAATCGTACCACTCATTTATTCATTTACCAAAGACTAGAGTGGCTACTCCCTGTCAGGCACTATTCCAGATTCTAGTCATACATCAATGAACAAAAGAGACAGTAAAGACCCTGCCCTCTTGGATATTACAATGCGGGGAAGCAGCCAATAAACACAGTGAACAAGTAAACTGAGTCTGGAAAAGGTGGTTTAAGTGTGATGGTAGAAAGTGAAGGAGATGGTGGAATTGGAGATTTGATTGGAGGAAAGGGTTGCTATTAATTTGGGTGATTTGGGGACACCTCGTTGAGTAGGTGACATTTAAGCAAAGACTCGAAGGAGGTAAGGGAGATAATTAAGTGACTGTTCAGCAGAGGGACAGGTGAGCCGAGGCCCTGAGACAGCAGTGTGTCTCATGTCTTCGAGGAAATGCAACGAGGCGAGTGTGGTGGGACCAGGCGGAGGGAGAGCAGAGAGGACGAGGTCACAGAGGCACTTGGGGCCAGAGTGGGTAAGGCTTACTGGTCACTGCAACACCTTCAGCTTCACCTTTCAGAGGAGAAATGCCCGTGGAGCGCTCTGCTCAGAGAAAGGACCTGGTTTGACTTCGCGTGGCAGGGTCATTCCGGCTGCCCTGTTGCCAATAGGCTCAAGTCGGGCAAGGGTGGACCCACGAAGACCAGGAAGGAGGCCATTGCGTGATCCGGGTGAGAGATGCCGGCGGTTCGGACCGAGAGGGAAGCAGTGGAGGCGGGAGACTCAGTCTGGAGAGAGCCGGCGGGTCCCTCGCTGTGTCCTCGTGAGCGCGGGAAGAATGCAGACGGGGCGTCCTCGGTGCATTTTGCAGAGGCAGGAAATTTTACTCAGGTTTTTTTTTTTTTTTTTCTTTTTCATACTTGCATAACAGATTTTCTCTCATGAATCATTCTTATGATGCAAGTTGAATGGAATTTCCTTGTGAGGTTATGGAGGCAGCAATCCCACCTCTGGGTGTTTTGCGTGAACTGAGTGGAGATAAAGGCAGATCTCTTACAATAAATCGCGGAGCCCTCATAGCAGCGGTCTGCATTCCTCCCGCTGAGGAGTGGGCTGAGACTGGCCCGAAGGAATTACTTCAGTGGTTTCCCTTAAAAACTGTCTGTATGTGGAGACTCCGTTCTCTGGGGAAATCCCAGGAAGTCTGCACTTCAGCAAACGGTGGCTATGTCCTTCTTTCAAAAAGGCCCAGAAGCATCTAGAAGATGGAGAAAAGAGAGAACCACAGGTCTAGGCCTGGGATGACAAAGAAGGAGAATGGGATTCTGTGGTGTCATCTTCATGTTCAAGGACATCACCTGAACCTCATATAGTGAATGCACTGAAAGTGTTGCCAGACCCCCCAGAGAGGGAGGGAATCAGGAAACGAAGAGGCAGTTGGCTTGGTAGGGAATGCAATAGACGTCTCAGGAAGGCCTAGTGTATGGCAACACCACGTTGTCAACAACAAAACCTCTAGAGCCCTGGGCATGACCATTCTCCCTGTATTTCTGATCCCAGACACTGGTGAAATATCCACCGAGGAAATATTGTCGTAAAGCATTCGTTTGTGAACTAAAAACTATAATTAGATAGTCATCGCATACTTATTAAATTATACATAATAAAAAATACACATAGCTTCAACACAATTCATTATAATTATAAGTTACTCAAAGGTACTTGAAGTTCCCAAGTAGCACAGTTTTCATAATAGTAATATACTATGTTAGAATGTGGTATATAAAAATTACACTTTGCACCTTGGCCGGTTTGGCTCAGTGGTTGGAGCATTAGCCCATGGACTAAAGGGTTGAGGGTTCGATTCCCAGTCAGGGGCATGTACCTGGGTTGCAGTTCAATCCCTGGCCCCAGTTGGGGTTGTGTGGGAGGCAACCAATCAATGTGTCTTTCTCATAGGGATGTTTCTCTCTCTCTCTTCCTCCCTCCCTTCCACTCTATCTTCAAGTCAATGGAAAAATATCCTCGAGTGAGGATTAACAGAAAAAAATTATACTTTGAAAAATTAATTTAAATTCTTCCACATTCAGCAAAAAAAGTCTGAATGATACAATACAGAAAAACATCACTATCCAAGAAGCAGCTGTAAGGAAAGGGGAGGCTGGGAGGAGGGATCCCTGGGTCTGGAATCGGTGAATCATGTGTGGGACATGAATACAACTAGACAGGCCTAAACTCGAGAAGCAGGCTCTCACGGAAGGAATACAGTGATTTGGAGCCTGGACGTCAGAATTGGATTTGAGCTCAGAGCCGGCAGGACCTCTTTGGTTGTGTGATGTTCGGCCACTTAGTCGACGTGTCTGAGCCTCAGATCCCTCATCTGTGACATTGAGACTATGTATCCCTGTGAAGATGAAACGAGATCATGCTCATGAAGAGCTTAGCCCAATTCGAGAAATACAGTAAACATTCAACAAATGGAGATCTAACAATGACCATTATTTCCTTAGGTCCAACCCAATCTCCTGTTAGTGTGCAGTGGTACTCAATGAGCATCATTGAGGGAGGCGGGGCTACTTGTCCAAACACAGCCAGGAGAAAGGCAGGGCTGGGAGCTTCGATCCTCAGTGGGTAAGTCTTCCGTGGGAGAGTATGACAACAGGGAAGTCTGATGTGAGCAGCTGTGTAATTATGAAGGAATGGTGGCCCCAGTAGAAATGAACAACCGGGAGAGAGTCATAGAAAACAGGGTCATTGGGAAGCATGATTAATTAGTTATATATAGGTGAGGAAAGGATGATTGCTGGGTGGGGATTCCAGGAAGAAGAAGATACTCCAGCACAGGTAAGAAGGTGACTTACAGGTGAGCGCGCAGAGCGAGGCAGCTGATGGGTTTCAGTGTAGACAGAATGTGTTCCTATGAGGTTCTTGCTTCGTGGCCAACAGCATCCCTAACCTTGGCCAGCTCTGTCATACACTTCCACTCACCACAAGGAAACCAGAGCAAGAGGAGAGCGGAGCAAATCCAGCCCGACGACTCCAGTGCTCGTCCATGAAAGGATTCACCACGAGTGTCAAGGCCCTCGAAGAGGCCTTAGTCAGGTTTCACTCGAAGATAAGTTGACTGCAATTGCTTAAGACTCTGAGGTCTCTGCACTCCGCTTCCCTCCCACGCTCTTCCCCTTGTGTGGGTGGTGCTGGAGCAGCAGCGTGCGGTTCTGGGTCCAGCTAAGAGAGACTTGGGGAAGTATTTTGTAATAAAGAGCCTGACTCTCTTTTCTGACGTCTGAATGCTGACAGCTGTTAAGCCTCACCCATGT